TTGAAAATGTACAGTATCTCTGGACTGAGACACACCCGCTGTCCTCCCTGCGGTTTAAGCCGACAACGTTCGGCAAACTGATAGCTTCTTTTTATCTTGTTCACTACTTCCTCTTTCGGTAACTCCCTAAATATTTGCTTTGATAATAATTGGACGGTGAATGAATTTACATAATGGAATCCAGGGTCTGTCTGAGCGGGAAATATGCATGAACGGACTCTGGGGAACACAAAGAGGTGTCGAGAGGAGAGAGGTGTTCAAAAGACGGATCATTTCTGATCTGATCATTTCCGTAAACAATCGTATATGACAATGTCTGTAGAAGAACACCAATATTTTATTTCTTATACGTCATAAAACACTACTGTATTTAAAACATATGTTTTAAATATTGTGCATTAAAGGTTTTTTTAGGGCTGCAACTAACAATTATTTTTATTATTAACCCTAACACACTACCAGATTGTGACCATAGCAAACATTACAACTGCTTAACAGCATCTAAGCACTGTCATTTTTATTATGTTAGCATGCTGAAGTTAGCATTTAGCTCAAGTAGCCTTACAGAGCTGGCTGGAGACTCCTCAGTCTTGTTGTAATTAATCAACTGATCATTTTCCCAAAGCGACAAAATTGCTAGTCCGATCAACTGTCCAAAACCAAAATAATATTCAATTTACAAAATATATATTGATTATATTTTTAATAGGAAAAAGCAAATAAATAATCACATTTAAAGAGCTGAAAATAGCAATTAGATGTTTCAAGCACTAGTAGTGTTAATGACATGAGCCTACTGCATATCACATCCAAAACACAACAGTAAAAGTAGGCGGTAGCATTTACACAGCTTATAACAAGCATTACTGTGTAAAACCTGTATTAAAACAGCCATAAATAAACAAAGAAACACAATGCAAAGTGCATCAATTGTACATTTAGAAACATAAACGTAAGATCGTTTTTCTGCACATGGGATACTTTGCTGTCACTTGTTTGTGATCAGCGTATGTGATATTCCTGCCAATGACCTCTGGAATGTAACACAAAGTCAGCATCTGACAAGCTGCTCAGTTGCCAAATATCCAATCCCATCGCTCCTTCAAGCAGAAATCTACTAAACAGTGTTAAAAAAAAAACAGACAGCCATTCATCCTAGAAAGAATAATAAGCATCTTCTGGAGTAAAAGTGAGAGTTATGGTCGTGCATGGTTGGTAGGTCACTGAGGTCAAAGGTCAGACCCCCAGACTGCTGTTTGACCATGGATTGGGGGGGGGGGGGTAAAGCAAGCTTTCTCTTATTTGTGTAGTCTTCAGTCTGAAATTGTTTTTCTCAAATTTTTTACTCAGAGCCACAGAAGACATCAAGCAACAGGCTGATTTTAAATTCTTTGACGAAAGTAAATTGAAGCGTGTTGCTTTCGGACTTTTGGTCACATTCAACATTTGAAATGGCCATTGTGGGCTTTGATAATTACAAGTGTCATTTTTCTCTCTTTTCTAGTACTTTATAGATCAAACGATTAACTGATAGATTGAGAAAATAATCTGAAGATTATTCGACAACAACAATCCTCCTGAGACCAACTGCGTAATAGCAATTTAATTCCAAACCTGAACTGACAGCCAATTTCCATCCATCACATCTTTTAGGAAGCCACACACCTAAATGTGCTTTTCATTTTCCAAGTGATTGATACTCAGTAAAGCGGAAAAAGATTCCACCTCAGATAAATCAACATTACAGGTTGAAGTTTGGGTGGGAACGTATTACGTATAGCATGAAGCTGTTGAACAAGTAAAAGCCTGTTGACTGTTCATGGCCCATACACCTACTGTTGCAGCCCTGCGGGGTAACGATAGGAAGCCACCTGGTGAAATGTGACCTGGTTCTTGTGAGCGGTGCATCGGGGCGCAAAGATGGATGCGCATGGAAAAAGAAAAGAAACAACACTGTAAATGCTCATAGACAACTAGCAACAGAGGCACATAAATAAATAAAAAAAACACACACCAGTAAAGTGCACTTCTCGCCACTTATGCAACTTTTACACAAATCATCTTTAATAAGTGAACACCAGAAGGACAGTCGCCTTCAAGTGTGATAGTGTACATGTGGATATCAGTTCATATCAGGAAATGTTCCCTTCCTTTTTAATATGACGCACTCATGCACTCACTGGGGTTAGGTAAGCAACAAAAGGACTGGACCCTGTAAGACTGGTTCACCATTGTGTTTGGGAGGAACATGCAGAAGTACAGGTGCCGTGTAAAACCCTGAAGCAGTGACTATAAAAGAAAGAATAGAGTTAAGCATTACCTTTCACCTGAAAACTTGTTAAGATGACGGTTATGCTCCAAGCCTTACGTAAGTATGACTGTTTTGTGTCGGCCAAGATAATATTTATTGTCTTTCTATTCTACTTTTTTTAATGCTTTCATACTAAGCTTTGTTGGACTCTCCTGCTGTCACGGCCTCTCTCCCTCACTGTCAGCAGCATTGGTACGTCTGTATTATTCATCACCTCCACTCCCAGGCTATTTATACCAGCTTTTACAGTCAGTCTGTCTTTCCGCTCTGATGGCTGCATCTGTCTACACTAATACAGCTATTTCCCCTTGTATATGCAGTTGTGGGCTGCCCAAGAGCTCTTGGTCTGAAAGGGCATCACTTCAGCTGCACCCAAGAAGAGTGCATATACTGACTTCTATACATACAGGCAAATACATCCTGCTACATAAAAAATAAAATCAGAATGATATTGCAATTACCTTTGCCACCACTGATGACCCTGATGAAAACCACTGGTGAGTTTCACTGACAAACAACTGTAGATTTGAATCTTACCAATAAAATGACTAGTGCTTAAGGTTCCCTAATTCTTATGTTGGCACTGCCACCAATTCTGCTGCCTGACTGGCCGCAAAGCTCAAATTTAAGAGCAGTAGATTATTGAGGAGAAAGCAGAGGAAGAGACTCGTATGCCAATAGACTTCTACATGCCTTGCTACATATATGATTATTCCCCTGCACATTTTCAGAGCTAAACATTTCATGAATTAATTTACACTACACACACACTCTGCAGCCTGCCTCTGGAACGCTCCCTGAGGTATTAACTCCATTGAAGGACCGCCAATGTCTCATTTCCCCCGAGGATAAGAGCAGAGAGTGCCAAGTCACTTCACATGGAAGCATCCGCCATTCCCATGAAAATAAAAAGGCTTTAAGAGCATGCAATTTCTACACACCATGTGCCAGCTAGATGTAGGAAGGGATGTGTTTGAGAGTGTTTGTGTGTGTTACTGTGTGTGTGTGTGCTGGCCAGTTCAGGGCACAGCTGTTCAGTTTAATATCATGGATGAAGACCAAGAATCCAATTTCAAACCAAAATGTCCGATCACAAAGTGTTATCTATATTTTAGTAGGGTGGCTCCCATGGCCTGTCTGAGATGTCCATGATATTTGGTTTATTTATGTACCTGTGTGCAAACATTTCCAGTAATAACTGTTTCGCAGAATAATAAGGCCTGTGTGTGATGACAATGTTAACAGTAGGGCTGTCATATCACATTTCCACGATTATTGTGACCAAAGGAACCCCCGATAATGACATTATCTGGATATCTGTAGAAAATGTAAAAGTGTTAATAATAATGCTATCATTCAAATGAATCTTTTAAACAAAAAACTAACATCTACCATCACTGCAATATCATTGTAAACTGAAATAAAATCACTTGTAGGGAGCAGGGGACAGAGATCTACACAATATTATCATATGTGTCTTATTAATATATCAATATTTCATTTTTAAATATCCCAGTTATTGTCAATAGCGGTATATCACAACAACCCTTGTTAACATCACTAACTTGTGGACATTTCCAGCCACTGGCATGCACGGCTTCACCCCTACAATGTGAAAATATGCAAATCCCCAACAGAACATTGATCCATATGTGATGGGGTATCACACTTGTACTTTTTGAGTTATGAAGAGTAGCAATGCCCTCTTGAGGACGATGCAATGCCATACACAGTCCAGATTTTAAATGCTTGATGGTAGTCTTTGTTATGTTATAGGTATACGTCACATCAGGCTAAAATGTCCTAAAACAAAGAAATAATTCCAATACTCTATAGTAACTAGCAGCTGACAGTATAAAATGTAAATAAGCCATTTAATGACTTACCGTGTGTCCTCCGTCGGTTCCCCGCCTTTGGCCAACATGTCCACGACCGGTGTTCCGACTAAATCCGTGACCCATCAGGTCCCGAGTGGTACAGGTGCACGCAGCTTAACGATGGCAGATCCAATACGTTTTGCCAAAACACTCAAAGTATTTTTCATGCAATAGTATTGCCTACTAGCTACTAGCCTACCTGGTGTGGGGTAATATAAGCTGTATTTTTGGAAAATGCACCATGTTAACACAAAGCAAACAAAGCCACAACCAGCAATACCAACGGCGGCTCCAGCCATTTATAGTCCGTGCCATACTTAGGCATGCAAACTCTTCAGGGGTGAAAAGGTGGCAAAGATGTCACACCCACTCCACCCTGGAGTTTATTTTTAAAGATGCATTTCGGCCAGGATTTACTTTCTTTAATCCCTGGCAAAGGCACCAATTTATGGACAAAAAGGACTTCCTCACTGAACAAAACGTTACCAAAGTAGCATTAGCACCGTCAACTTCGGTAAACTATTTTCATTATAAAACTCATTAAAGGGAACATTCCACCACTATGTATCAAACAGCAAACACGTTCCCAAAAGACTATACAGGTCACAACAGGCTATACAACTGAAAAGCAGCCAATACACTATGGAACTGAAACTACATAGAATATTTAAAAAGAGCATTTGGAGTTTGCAGGAGGAACTTAGGCATTTAGCGGAACCAAGTCGAGCTCAAACTGACTATTGTTTCCACTTTTATTCCTCATTTGCCAAGCATGCAGAGAGGTCACAAACTGGCAAAATGACCACACATGATGCTGATGAACTGACAACTTTAATTGTTTAGATATTTTTATTACTTGTGCGATACCAATTATATGGGACCGAAACAAATCAGCTGACACACAATACATACAATTGTCATGAGGAACAAACAGGGTATTGCACAGCTCATCTACTCTCTTGACTAGTCAACAAAAAGGACAAACTGTCACATTAAGTAGCTATGTTGGTCAGTAGGTGCTGTGGGTAAGAGTAGTTTCCAGTGCTAGGTGTTTACTGGGCGATGCCAATGACACCACACGCCAGACGTGCACCAGCATTGCCCGTCTTTAGACTCTCGTCGTTGCCGCCTTTTCCCAGGTCGTCGGCCTTCTCATGGATCTAAACACAGGACAGAAAACAGTTGTTTGCATCACTTTATAGCCTAGATGCTCAATTCCATGTGCAACAAGGCTCTTTTACTTACCACCATGGTTCTGCCAATGATTGAGTGCTGGCCAGTGAGGGTGATTATCTTGTCTGTGATGTCTATCGTGGCAATTTTATCTTCTTTAGCAGTCACATTCCCCAAGTCTCCAACATGCCTGTTTACATAAATGAATATTATACGTTAAAACCCATTACCAACCAACCTCGCTTACGACCTGATAATCATTTCAAATCCCATAAATATTTTCCCATGATTCTTTGCTGTACCTCAATAGATGCCATCAAATTTAAAAAAAGGCAACAAAGTGTGATGTAAAGCTACTTCTGTTCCTCTCCAAAGAGTAAAAAACACATATGTACACTGACAGAAAGCCAATCTATGCTAGTTCTGCCTCCTGTCAAATTAATTGTGACTTGAAATAATTTGTTATCATCAGATACATCTGTTGTTGGTAAACCAGAGTGAATAAGTCTCATCTATTCAAAAAAAATCATTGCAACACTTTTAAGATGTATGCATGTGAGGGAGCTTTAAATATATTGTTCCATCTATGGATTCTGATAAATATCTACTTTGCTCAGACTGGACTCACCTCTTTTCATCATTAGGACCTGCATGATCCGCTCCGTGGGGATTGAAGTGAGGGCCTGCACTGACGCACCCTTGGAAACGCATAAAAAAAAAAATTTAAAAGAAATCATGAAAGACCGCAGATTAAGTTGCAGTATATGAACCGTTACGACCGGCTCAGGAGTCGCAACATATAGGAAGGACATAACGCCAAGTTAGGTTAAAAAACAACCACAGCTGCCAGTTTATTTACAGGACACAAGTAAACTGTAGTGTGCAAATCCCACTGCAGACCAGCATCTGGTGCCAGGTAGATATGAGAGAGAGAGAGAGCGGAGCAAGGAGGCGCTTATATAAGTAAACCACATCCTCATCCAGGTGCCCTCAATCACTCGTTAGGGAGCTGCACCTAGAAGTCAAAAGACACACAATACACACCCAGAAGCACAAACATTCACAGCAGGACATAGAACCATACGTAACAGAACTAAAACCACAAAATGCAGCAATATTAACCTGTTTAACACACAACTATTGTCAGATGCTCACCATTTGTATTGTCTCCAAAAGCATGGACATGGAAACCATGCAGTCCAGGAGTGAGGCCTTTGATTTCACCGGTCAGCTTCACAGCCGCTGAGTCACTCTAACCAATCAGGATCACAGGATTCAGCAGAATACAAAAGACACAGAAGAGCCGTCAAAGCCAGCTGGCGAGAAGGACTCGACTTTCAGTATTATTTCATGTCATTTGAAATCCCCACGCAGTCAGTCTTAGTAACAGCACAAAATAAAAAGGAAAATATAATAGGAAAGTTGGTAAAAAATAAAGTTTGTACAGTATAATAGAATATGAAAGGCATTAAATGCTAAGTAGAGAATTCTCCATAAAACCTTTAATAGCTAGCTTACAGTTATCCTATGAGCTTAAACTGTCCATTTTGTTTTAGTAAGCAAAGGTGCAGGACAAGATGCGTGATCATATTTGTAAGTTAGCTAGGGAGACAGGAAATACAACTATATTTGTCAAAACAACTTCAATTACAAAATGGAATGTTGGATGAATAAATGTGTAATATAACATATGCTTCCATTCCTCTGATGTCATGTGTATTCATGCTCCATCTTTAATGTTTCAGAGTTAAATGTAATTTCAGGCTGCGCACCCATGTGCAGTCCTCTTTGTTTACCTTTCACTTCTCCATGTAACCGTGTTTAAAGCCACATTGCTGTGAATTGTGTGCAATTTCTTGGGCCAACCAAAATAACAATGTTAACTCTTTTGCCGCCTTTCAGTTTCAAACTCAACTCCCACCCCCTAAACACACCGTTTTCCAGCCCTGCTCTACACTTATCAACAAGGCCACACACACTAGGCAAAGTCAATAACGAGGGTAGGCAGTGACTCAGCAACAAATATTAAGCGTTAGTAGTTTTAAAAGCTACCATTGATGGTGCAACTTTTGACTGCAACTTGGATTTCAGCAGAGCAGCTACAAACTCAAGTGATTCAACCTCAGACTCGTAATGTTAGCGTTAGAAACGTTGTACTTATGCAACAGGTGTTTTCAATGCACGCGCTGTTGATCATTAACAAAAGACAGGCCTTAAAACGTCTAAAGGTTAAGACCCTTTATGACACGGTTATATTAACTAGCTGGATACACAACGTTCACATGAGCAGCCTACTTGTAAAATAAAGCGTTAAAGCGTGCCACTTTTGACTGCGTGCGCACTTAACGCTAACTGGTGCTTTGACGTTACATCGTGCAGGCTAACGCTATTTTGCATTAAAGCGCGTGCACAGTTAGATAGCATGAACGTATGTCAGTGACGCATTGCCGTTCAAATGTAGTAAGTATCGTTAGCCAGCTAGCCAAGTCACTCCTGTAAACCCATCAAACCGGCTTGTGAATGGAGAATTTAGCTAGCTTAGCATTGGCGCACTAACGCTCCCAGGAGGCTGCATGTCAATTACTCCTTGTAGCTTAAATAAATTGACCAACTAGATAGTTCTTCCCCTGAAAAACGACGTCGCACGCCTTACCTCCTGCTCAAAATAAACCGTCCCGCTGGCGTCTCCAGCTCCTTTCAACACACAGACAGCTTTCACAACCATCTTCGCAGTAGTTTTTCAAAGGACGCCCAAGTTTCTGACAAGCTTGCTAGCGTGAGACTCACCGTGAAGACAACCAACTATATGTAAGCATCGGATGGGCGGGCGTATAGTACAGACAGCCAATCAGAGTCAGATGTAATCAAAAAGACGCATTTTGATTGGTCACTGACGATGACCCATTAAGCGGGTGAACAAATCCATAATAGACTTTGCCCAGGGCCCCAAAACATATTTTTATCAAAGGTTCATTTGTAAAAATGCATTAAATGGGAGACAAAATCTTTCCTGATACTGTAGGCTAACTGCTGGTAGTTATGTCACATGCTTGATAAAGATAAAAATTGTCTGCATCATAATGTTAGATGTTCCTGCACAACCCACAATCTATCTAATTTTAAAAAAAGAAAGAAATAAACCATTTTTATTGTCATATACATATACACATACACAAAATTTGCCTTCTGCATTTGACCCATCCCTGTATATAGGGAGCAGTGGGCTGCCAATGATAGGCGCGTTATCGGTGTTACATACTGTATACAGTAACAGGGCAAGACTGTTCTTAGGCCAATTCAAATAAGATGTAATGTCACAGTCACAAAGACCATGAGCGAATTATATATGCTGGACAGTACACCACTAGTTAAAAGCTAATTTGAAGCCGGCTGGTCTTTCATATGGCGATGGAGATTTTAAAGAAAGGATTGTGTGGACTGCAAAGTCAGCTGTTACATAAGCCTTTTGTTATTGAGACCTAGACTTAAACAATGATAAATCTTACCTGTTTTACTTCCTCATCATAAATCGTAAAGATCAACCTGTAAGTTAGTTGAATTACTCCAAAATCACAATAAATATCAGGTCTGTGGCATTTAAACAGACCAGTATGTGTACCAACAGTGAAGCACGAATATAATTTGGACAAGCAAAATGATTTGGTACAAAAATAGTTTATTAAAAACAATTTCCTCTGGCTGAAATATTGGAGATTTTATGTCCATGTCTTTTGTGTTATTAACAAATCATAGAAACATCTGTCAACTTTCAAACCATGAGTTAAAAAATGTTAAAGCAAGAGGCCTCTGTTGTTCCTTCCATGTCAATGTCCTTATCTACGACAAACGAATCACGGATCATAAACAACAAATACCGTTACACCTTCGAATCGTCAGTGATACGAGCATATTTACAGCCGTGTGACCCAAGCAACTGTCTTCATTTCATCGCCTTAGTTCTGCACTCTGTTAGAAAAAAAAATGTCAAGAGCAAGAGTTGGGCTTGGACAATATGGGCTTCAAATGTGAACTTCAGGTACAGCATGTCTGCAGTGAAACAGACACTAAGTGTAAAAGCTGTGTTCATCAAAAACAAAACATAATTCATCGACAGGGATACATTTTGTATCTTCTTGTGGCCAAAACTCATTTGTATCAGTGTTCGACTTCAAATGGACTTTTACTTCCACTTTGATGTTAATGTTAGTTCTGAAAACTTGCTCGTCAAGACCGAAACCAGGACAAAGAAAATCAGTTTTTGTTGTTTTTAGGTTTGTTTTCAGCAGTTTTGAACAGTTCATCTGGGTGCAATTTTTTTTGCAAATGGAAGTACTCGTCCTTATTTTTTTGTACCAGTATCTCTGTCGATGATTCAAACTTCTGAAACAAAGCCCAATTATATAACGTCCAATTTCTTTACATCCTTAATTTTCCAGGGGAGATATATCATGATGAATGTATCTAGTTTTCGTGCACGTTGCGTCAAAATGTCTTATCTGAAATCAGTCACAATGTCCGTCAAGCTAAAGAAACTTGATTATGCCGCCGTTAAAGTCCGAGCTTCTGAGCCCCCACAACAGCTAATGTTTGCCAAAAAAAATTATATATACACACACAAAAAATGAAAAGACCTAAAGTGGCATCTGGATAAGTACAGTATGATCAAAGAATGGGAAGAATTCTTGATTCCCTGAATCTTAAAATGTTACAAGTGTTTGGGTGAATAAAGCATGTATTGAGAGTGATTTCTTTGAAAGGACATGGTGTATTTGCCAGTAAATGTGCACCAAGTGGCTTTTAGAATGAAGACAATACTTTATTCTTCCTGAAATAAAGTGTTTTAAAGGATGAGAAGTGGGGACATAATCAAAAGGAGAGCTCAACAATTTAGCAAACCTAATTCTCAGTGTAATTTACCTCCACAAGTCTTTCCCCAATTTGTACTTTTCTTTTCCCATCAAACACCTACAAACATACTTGATTTGATTTTAAGGCCACGGTAGTCCTTTGAAAGCTGCGCATTACTGGCTGTGATCTCGCAATGAAGAGCAGACATGAAACACAAGATGACGTGAAAACAACAAAGGAAAGTAAATGGTGCCTGTATTATCAGAACAGTTGTTTGAGAAGAAGATATTCAGTGTTTGACATGACATTTTGGCAGATTTAAAAAAAGATTTAAAATGAACATGACTTTGTTGAGGAGTGCCTGCTATCACACAGATAAGGCAATGAAGTACAAAATAAATGTGTGTCATAGAAGTTATTTGTTTCCTCCGTCTGCAAACCAACTGGAGTAAAAAACATAAAAGCTAAGCTCAAATGAACCTAAAATGGACAGAGCCGCGATAACATGCAAACACGCCGTTCATTCTTTCATCTTACAGGGAAAAAAACAGTTGACAGCCAATAATTCAACGACAGCAATTTTACCAAACAGATTTTCGTGTGGTCATGTGTTTCCAGTAGCAGACGCAAAGCCAAATTTTGACCAGAAGCCAGTCAGTCTGAAAACAAGCGTTTTTACATAATGTCTGACGACACGTGTGGGAGATGTTTGTTTTCAAGACCAGAAACTGTCAATCACCAACTGGCAAATGGTGACGTGCTAGAATGCTTATGCCAGGAGTTGAGGCTGACTATCATTGTGAAAAACACCTTTAACAAAAAAAAATAAAATAAAATCATTCAGTGGTTCACAGCAGTCTCTAGCTGAAGGAGCAGTGGGCCAAGTCTATGATGCTGCTTCCTGTTTAGTTTCTGTGGGCTCACTTTGAGCTGAGGGTGAGGGCACAGAGGGCGTCTGCTCCTCTGGAGACGGAGCTAAAAGTTCAGAATCTGCCTTCTTTTCAGAAGCTTCCACACTTGGTTCTTCACTGCTTTCCAAAGCTACCACAGGAGTCACAGGAGTTTGCTCTGTTGCGTTAGAGGTCCGAAATCTCTCCACGTTTTCCAGTTCAGCCAATCGATCGTCCCTGTCCCATCGTGTGGTCCTCTCTTTCCTCTCTGACCGCCTTGGCCTGTCTCCTTCAGCTCCTTTCCCTCTTTCTCGACTCCCTCCTTCCACCTTTCCCCTTTCTCCCCCCTCTCCCTTCCCTCGATCCCTATCCCCATCATCACTCCTCCCTCGCTCCCTGTCGCCATCCATGCTGTTTCGCCTCTCCCTCCAGTCCCGTCTGTCTCCGACGCGATCGCGGTCTCTCTCCCGGTCTCTCTCCCGGTCTCTGTCTCTCTCCCATCCTCCTCCACGGTGACCTCCTCCATCTTCTTGCCAGCCTCCAAGTCGGTCCCTCCCATCCATTCTATCACCACCTCCTCCTCCTCCCCTCCCTCCATCACCAAAGAGACGCCTTCCACCTCCAAAACCTCGGTCCCTCTCTCTATCCCTGTCTCGATCCCAGTCCCTGTCCCTCTCTGGCTCTCGGTCCCTGAATCCGGGCCTTTCTCCCGGCCTGTCTCCAGGCCTGTCCCCCCTGAATGGCCTGCCTTCCATTTCTTCTGGCCCCTCCGGGCCACGAGGCCCCCCTGGTCTGATAAAAGGAGGCGGACCTTGAGGAGGAGGAGGAGGACCCTGCCCGTGTGGAGGGAAAGGAGCCCTCATATTGTGGGGAGGCATCATTCCAAAGCCTCCTTTAAGTAGAGGGGGGTCGTGGTGCATCATTTGAGGGTGTGGCCCTCTGGCAATCATCTGCGGGGGCATAGGTGGCATGTTGTGGTGAGGGGGTCGTGGCCCGTGGGGTGGAGGGAAACGCTGCATGTGTGGCGGTGGGGGAACCGGAGGACGCTGCAGTGGGATTATACCGGGCCGTGCGCCAAGCAGACCACCAGAAGGGGGTTGGATGTTTCCAGGAGGAGCACCGGGGTGGGAACCAGGAGGTCCACCTAGCTGGTTACCTGGTGGGGGAAAAAATACACAACACAGCTTTAATGTTAACCCAACATTCATGACTGTTCAAAATCCTTAATGGCCAAACTCCAGTAACACTCATTTTAAAAAAGAGCCGACAGAAAGACAGACTGACCCATGAGTCCCATCTGGTTGTTGAAGATGTTGGGACCCTCCGGGACCTCGTCATTTTTCCTGTTGCCCAGACCAACTGGGTCCAGAGGTGGGTCTTCAACTCCACCTTTGGAGGGAGGTGGGGGACCGAGAGGCATGGTACCCGGGGGAGGGAAACCTGGGAGAGGAAGAAGGGTGAAAGGAGTTAGGGTTCAGTTGGTTTAGGCTGGAAAGTGAGCGAAACTTTGCTACCACAAATTAAAATCCCCCCCCCCCCATAATGTCACAGTGCAAGACAACTTTTTGTGTTTCAACCTTTTCGTCACTACTCTTGTGATTACTTCATCATGAGCTCCTTATGACACCAGCGTGGATAAACAAACACAGCCAGGAGCAGTTGAATAGTGCTTTGATGTCTTTCCTTCAGTACTGATAAACATCATTTGAGGAGGAGAAAGACACTGAAAGAAAAGCCAGAGAGAAGTTGTTTGATGGCAGCAGAAGGAAATGCTACCTGGAGGCATCTGCATGTGGTTGAAGCCGGGTCTGATGAAAGGCGGAGGGGGGATGCCTGGGGGGAAGGAAGGCGGAGGCATGCCTATGGGACCAGGAAAAACAGGAGGCTGGAGAGAACCCACACCGACCATTGGCTGCTGCATTGGAGGAACCTGAGAACATTTACAGGGATTTACTAAAGATTTAAAATAAGAATTTTTTATATTATTTGTTATACTTCCCAGGGACACTAAAGAAACACAGCGAAGGAACTTCAGACAACAACCATAAAAGTCCTCTTTTGGCATGGATCAGGTCACACCAGCTTGTCATTCTATTTAATAAGTTGCCTCCATACTTATACATGGAATTGAGTTCCATAGGCGAGTAAAAAAATATTAATGCACTTGAATATCTTGAATATCTGTGACAGTTCTCAAAAAATACCATTCATTTTTAATAAATATTTACATGCAAAGATTCGTGACAAACAGTTGCTCAGATTGCACAATAAGTAGTGCTATGAGGTTGAAATGACGATAAATGCAAATGGAAGATTTTATACAAAAGGCACTGTGTTCTTTTTACTATGACAGTTTTTTTAATCGCAATATATCGCCTTGCTTACATAATCGCAATATAGTGATTTGTTAGTCCTGTACATTTGCATAGATCCCTGAAAGAAGCAGGCACATTCATTATCAGAATGATATCTTACCATAATTTAATCCTATAACAGTGATAAATCACCATATATCTAATCCCAGACGTTTACACTGGTAACATCTAGCGCTGTTGTTGTTTACCTGCGCAGGAGGAGCGGCTGCAGCAGCCAGAGGTAACCCTTGTGTTTCCTCAGGCTGCTGTAGCTCTGAACGGCCGTTGTGGTTGAGTTCCTCCTGGAAGCCAAGAGTCTTCCTCACTCCACTCCACTCTGAAAAAGACAGACACGATTCAGACATGTTAAAAAAGCAGACTAGTATATACACTATGATACGCAATAAGACAACAACTTGTTTGGCATACAATGAGTAAGTGGATTCCACATATCTCTTATGTCTTGTTTGTATGATTCTCCTAATGTTCATGTGCCTGTCATGAGTTTTTACCTGGTGATAAGGTGTCTACATCCAGGACGCCTCCTTCTTTGAGCTCCTCCAACTGAGCCTCTCTGATTTTGGACCACGGTATGTAGGTGACACCCAGCTCCACGTCCCAGTACTGTTTGAACTCAGCCTTGATGCCCTTGTTCAAAGCCCAAGCAATCTGGCAAGAAATAAACAAAAACAGCTCTCGGTTTGAGAGACGTTCCTCCGTTTTCTCTCTTTAATTTGCTTTACTACGCAGCCGCCTGCGTTGCTCACTCACCTTGATGGATTTCTGGTTCACTTTGTGAGATCCTCTGCTAAGCTTCTGCAGAGCCTTGAAGGCATCTTGCCTATGTATCATGACAATGTAGGCACAGCCACGTGGAGGGATCATCTTAACAAGGGAGGAAAAAAGTCAGTATTTTTCACATTTGGTTTGGAAAATACAAATGCCATAGTTTACAAAGGCACGACGTGGTCACTGTAACTCATACATGTCGAAACTTACATTGATGGACTCTATCTGCCCAAACTCTTCCAGTAAAGAGGCGACATCTTGCTGTTGTGTTCTCTTGTCCAACTGGCCCACCCAGAGCGTTGTACTGCAAACTGCAGAGGAGACAGAAAATGAAAAAATGAACGCTTAGAAATGTAACAACACTTTGAATCAAAGGGAGGGAACTTATTTATATAAAACCGCTGAAAACTGCATACATCTAACAGGTAATGTCCATATACTTGAATGAATATGGCCATAAATAGGAGTCTGACTCACTGCTTAGTGTCTCGCTCTTGGGCGTTGGAAGGCCTTTCTGCCGTCGATCCCTCTCCTTCTCTCTCTCCCTGCGCTCCAGCGAGCGAGGGCGCGGGGAATGGTGACGCCGCTCTCTGGAGCGGGAGCGGGACCGCCTGTGCCGGGATCGTCGCGTACGGGAATTAGACCGCGACCTCCTTCGCTTTGGAGACCTGGAGAAAAGAAAAAAAAGACATTGCAATTCATGATATGCTCAAAATGAATAAGCACCGATGAAAAGCTTGTCCATATGAAACAATTTACAAAGCTGATGTCTGTTAGACACATCAGATGCTGACCTGGAGCCTGAGTGTGATCGTCGACCATGTCTGCCATCCCTCATAGATGAATGGTCCATATCAATGGACAAATCCTGATATGGTATGGAAAATAATTTGATACAAACATTTAAATATTCATATGAGTTTCTTCTAGCATCAGATTTCAATTTAAATGCAAATGTAAACAAATACTGGTTAAAGTTTACTCTACCAACAGAAATTAACTTTAAAAAGGCTTGTTAGATGTTAAATACCCTTCGTTCTCTTTTTAAATCTACCTGTTGTTGCTGGGCAGCATTGTGGGGGGGATATAGCCCTGGGAAGCCTGGAGGCCCAGTCGAACCAGGGGGGGGCTGCCCGGGCAAAGCGTGCCCCAAAGGAGGCATCATGACGGGGAAGCTTTGTCCTGGCTGTAAACCAAAGGTCTGGAGCTGGCCATTAGGAGGCAGAGGGACCTAACAATGACAACGGGAATAGATAGTGTGTGCGTACTACAAGTTTTCATAAAATCTCAAATTAACTTGAAAGAAAATGATTTGGACCTACCCACATTTTTATATGTATGACTTATTTCTATAAAACGGTTGCCTTCCATAAATAAAGAGCCTACTGTACATAGTAAATGTATTATGTGACATTATTGTAACACAAGCTAAAATTATTGTAAATTTGATAGCATTTAAAAGTTGAATGTAAAATTGACTAAATAAAACCAAAATCAAAAAAGTAGAGGGCTGGAAATACGAGTTATTTTCCAATTAGAAATGTTTGTGCTTATTACCTGTTGTGAGAGGTCTTGCAACATGTTAATCATCGGTGGTTTAAAGTGCTGTTGGAAGGCTGGAGGCTGCTGCATACTGTGATGATAAAAATACACCATTAGCTTCACAGCTTTAAGTTCTTTTTTTTCTTTAAATCAATCAGAGCGTCCCTTTTCTTGGCATTGCAGTGCTGCAGTATTATACACAATAAACCAAATGCTTACAAGGAGGCATGTGATTCATCCTTCTTTGTCTCCTCTCCAACTTCTGGTTCATCATCATAGTCAAAACGGTCCAGCAATTTCTAAGAGAGAGGGAATGAATGTGCACAAATGTTTTAAATGACTTATACTCACAGCACTGTCCTACAAAGTGTCTAAACAGTGCCTGACTTCTTCTGAAATGTTGTTCGTAGTATATTAAGCTGTTGATGGCATATGCAAATACAAGAACGCACTTCCACCTTGTCAAAAGCTGTCTTCTGCTGGGCGGCTTGGGCGGCTTGGGCGGCTTGCGTGAGCAGAGGCGGTTGCGGGGCGACCATGGCCAGGCCAGTGTTAACGCTTTGGGGCTGTGTTTGACTGGTATGGACGTGAGGCTGAGTGTTGCTGTCAGGCTTCCCAGGCTGCTGCTGGAAGTTCTGGAGCATCTGTTGAAGCTAAAACGCCAGTGAAAGAAGAGGTATTAGTGAGGGTCTGAGAGAGGTGCAAGCAAAGATAATAAAAGCAAAATGACTAAAAACCAGTCTGCTCTGGTACACACACACCTGCTGACCCTGCGTGGACTGGAAGAGCTGTGCCACAGCAGCAAAGGCATCGGAGTTTTGCAGCTGAGCAGTGGATGGCATGGTGGAGTTGGCCGTTACTGGCTCTTTGGCTGGAGGCGGGGAAGAACCTGAGGGGAGAGACACAGCATAAACATGTGTGTGGGGGCTCAAGCAGATCTATATTGTATAACCTATATATAGGTTAGCTTGTTGTCATTTTGCAACATAGGGTTGCACAGCCAAATGAGAGTTGTGGTCCCAGACAAGAAAAAACACAAAAACAAAATAATGCAATATAATTATATTTTGCAATATCACGAAGCAAACTGAAATAAACTACATGATGGTAATTACTACTGCTTATGTGTACAAACACACAAATTACCTGGGTCATCTGAGCCTGTGTAGGGTGCAGCAGCACTGCTAGAGCCAGCTGCCATGTCCAGGAGGGGCTGAATAACCTCGATCTTGAACACCCCGTTCTTCTGCCACAGGTTCAACACCCGCACGATCTTACTCTACAAAAGGACAGTAAGGGAGCAAGGACACAGGTGAAGGACAAGGAATGATAGGAAGCTGATTTAGGTCAGAATGTGTCATTAGAGGGAGCAAAGTACTTCAATCCCAATGTGGTACTATTTGAGACAACAACACTACAGTCCACAACATTGGTCACAGTGAATCTTTCACCATCTGTTCATTTTCTTACCCTGTCCTCTAGTGGGCAAAGGCAGAGGTTCTCAAAGGTTCCTGTGATATTTTTGGTGAACCTTGGGCCGAACACGTCCTTGTCTGATCCAAATTGGTGTCTGGACTGCCGAACAATGGAATCCACCACATACAGGCCCGCTATCTTGTACTCAGACTTACACTAGAAAGAGCGGAGGGAGAAAACAGATATTGGGTTAATTCATGTTTGGCGAGATGGAAATGGGTGATAACCAACATTTGTGACAGGCTTGTCTCACCTTTTTGATGAACTTCTCCACAATCTGGACCACATGTTTGTAGAGCTGAGAGAGAGAGGAGCAAGTTATCATCTAGATATACACTCGAAAATAAAAGGTTATAATACAGAGAACGCTGTTCAAATAAATATTGAAGTGACTCTCAAACCGAAGGAATGACAAACTATTTCTTACTTTCATAGCTTTGATGGCCGATTTGGTGATGGAGATCATCTTTGCCCGAGAGATTGGGGGCTTGGAGTCTATCAATGAGAATAACTACGGACAGAACAGATGACAGATGAGTGAGAGGCAACACAGAGAGGAGAGTGCTTAAGGACGTTCAGAGGTGATGCTAAGCCAATCATTTCTACTCCAAAAATCATTTCCAAACCTTCGTCTTTCGACACCGGAGACACACATTTTGAACCTGTTATTATAAGCATCAATGGATCCTAATCTTAACAGTCTTATCGCCATTTAATAACTATATATAGATGATAACCTGATTTGTTAATTAGATCGCTGATCTTTTATTGGTTGCCACTGTTGCCTCTGTATCCTGTGTTATTGTTGTATTGTGGACTATTCTCTGATGGAGGTGTGGGAATGAAAGCGTTGGCGTTACAGTGCAGTGTGCTTCAAAAGACAGCGAATACATGAAATCTTTCCACCTTTCTGTTTACCACTTGCATTAAACTACACACGGTCAGTCTGCTTTTGAGGAAACTACAGCATCTTCACAGCTGTGTGGTGCAATATGCCATTTACAAAAGGTCCAGTATTTGAGAGAAACTCATTTATACAACACTGAAGTACAGGTTTGCTCTCGTCATTAGTGTGGGAAGTACACTTTAACATATTTGTCCTATGCACTTTATAACACAGACTTTGCTTTCTCTGTTTGTGCCAGATGCTATATTGAAAGTGCAAAATATTTTTGAAGAACCATCATGAAACAGCTCACAGGGTTTATTATGATTTGCTGCAACAAACACATATTAGGACTAGCTCGTTGTGATACAGGTTTGTTTATGTTTAGCACTCAGCGGGCCCAGCCACAGCAACTGTTACATTCAATAATAAGGAATACAATCAGTATTAGGATAGTGCGTTTGCAGGTAGCTTTGTTTCCAACACAAATGTTAGTAAGCATGCTCTCACGAGCTAACATTAACGTTGGTCTTACGAACTTTGCGCAAGGTTAACGTAACTAGAACCGATGTGGAATAACTGTCGTTGCGTTAGCTTGCTAGTTAGCATACATTCCTATAATTTGTTTCATTGCCCGCGTAGCTTGCGCTGCAGGTGTATCTACAGTACGAACGCTAACTCGGTTAGCCTTAAGACAGGTACGATGGACAGGTCCAGCTAGCTCGCCGAGCAGGCCCACTGGTCAGACCTGCATAGCTAGCTCCACGGCAACACAGCGCTATGACCAGCGCCGCCAGACTCGGTGCCTTCGGGGTCCTCAGCGAGCCCTGAAGGGCAGCTTACCTCGTGGTTAAAGGCGTTGACGGCATCCATGATTGCCCAACGCTCCGAGTCGTCCTCTTGACTCCCGATTCCCGGTTAAAAAGCGATGTTTATTTATGGAAGGGTCGGTACAACATGTCCGCTCCCCGGTAGCTAACGACAGTTAGCCTAGCATCGGTAGCTTTTGGGTCGGCGGGCACGGCAAAGCATGATGGGATTCAATTTTGTTGTTATATATTTTGGCCACTAGGTGGCGTAGTGTTTTAAATATTGAAAACATGTGCATGGGACACGGTTGTCCACAGAGTGTCTACTTAGATATGATAGATTTAGCCCATCAGAACCCCCAAAATGAGCTTTAGGCCCCCATTGACTTTGTGTAACCATCATCCTGTAACGCACTGTGCAAACCCAGCAGCAGACTTATTATTTTTGACCTACTCCCATATAGTATAGGCATACCAATCAGTATTAGGCCTACTATGCCGAAGTACTACCTCAGACTAATCCATGAAACCAAGTTGGAGATTGAAATTATACTTGTATGACTGTGGTACACAATCACAACAACAAGAAGTAGCAGTACAATAGAAATTCAAGCAGTAGCTATTTCTATTAGCCTCATCAATACCCAATGTTTCTGGGATGAAGACTGAGCAAATTACAACATCTACCTCTGAAGTTTCGAAAGTTACAACGCGAAGGAGTATTGGTGAAATAATCCCTTTTATAGTGTTGTGATGCTTCTCAAATTCAAACCATTACACGTGCAACTTTTCCATTAGGAGGCTACTTTTAATAAAAAAATGATCTCCAAATCATTAACTAATTCCCTCACAAGACCCCTGTGTTCCCCTCCCGAACAGATCACCTTTATAGATTGTATCTTTGTTCTACAGGCTACTGTTAATTTACAAGGATTAATAGACTGCATGCTTTAAATCACAATTTATTAAGAATGAATGACAATGAAGAGTGGAAAAAGCTCAGCAGGAAGGCAGGCTTACTCATGTCATCAGTAATAGGACTGACTGTGTGTTCTTGTAGTACAGAATTACTCCAATAGATGGTGGTATACTTGTACCTTTGGTTCCATGTCTGGGTGTCTAGTTTGCTGTCTAGAAAGCATGGTCCAGTAGACAAGTCAAACTGTGCAGGTGTATTATTCTCACTCCTTCTAGGAATCCAGGAGTGAACAAAACAGAGCAAACCTGTGTATAAAATTAAATCTGATGCAGAAACACCACAAACAGCCTTATAAAACACCGCAGAGTTTCATCAACACCTCACTGACACAGACTCAAAAATAAACAAACATGTGCTTCACATTAGTAGAACAGTAGGTCTTATTAATACTACTTATTATTATTATTGCAGGGCTATTGGATTTCATTATATTGTCAAGTGTTATTATTTTTGTTCTGCCCCTGTAGAAGAAAACATATGATATAATCATATTAAGTCGGATTAACCTGAGCTGAAGACAAGTACAGGAAGAAAAATATGTCTCAAACTGTTGCCCCTCCCTGCAGGTGTCCTCATCTGAGTGATGAACACCATGTTAATAAGGCCAGTGAACACCTCAATGAGCGAGGGGCTGAAGGCTTCTTTGTTTGCCGCGGGTCTGCGGCGTACAACTTGGCAGCACTCCAAGTTCAGCAACAACCAATAACACGAGATAAAAAAAAAATATGGCAATAAAAAGGTGATGGAGGGCTTTATATGAAATTGACCATTTCACATTTTCATGTTCATGTTCATTTATTGCCACTATGTGCGCACAGTGTTATTAATGTAGGTCTGCGTGGTGCAAAGCACATGTGAACATTTGAATCCTTGACGCACAATTCTGACAGTATTACAATGAAGACGGCCCCCCAAAAAAGCCATGTGAAAAGAAGTATGTAAAAGGTTGTAGCGGCAGGAGGCTACTGTTGCATCTCTGTTCCGCCTGTAAATATAGTCTTTGTTCACAGCCGTGTTCAGCATGAGCGCACCATGCGGGGCAGCGGTACCGGGTCGAGTTGTCGCCCTTGTTCTCACATGTGCTCCGCCCGCCTCTGCTGATTGGATTGAAATGTACCCTCGGCTACCGTTCGAGGGGCTGTGTGTGTGTGTGTGTGTTTTTTCTTTCACCCTCACACCAAGAAACGCCCACCCATATGACCGGTAAAGTCAGTTCAAACTGAAAAACACGCTGCCTGCGCGCAGACTATTCAGGAGACGTTCATGTGTGGAGCAGGGACGCAGAGTGAGAGCCTATACCTCTTGACTGAGCTGCTTTCTTTTTTAAACCCTCACAAGTATGAAGACAGGTTGCATCAGTTTACAACTTCCCATGATTGAGTCAGACATTTTTTCTTGTGTCTTTTTTAATCTAAGATGATACACTAATCGAGACTTGTCTCGGAATCTGCTGAGTGCGCTCACTGGATGCTTCGGTCGAACAGGTGGCGCAAGCTCCGGTTCTCTTAATTTGATAATAAGGGCAAGACGCAGGCACGTTAAGCATTTAATACCAGCCTTCAAGGTGGGAGAGGGACGAGCTGCGCAATTTTTCCTCCCCTGTTAAAACGGGGCACTGGACAAGGGAGCTGTGATGCCAGTTGCAGACAGCGACATGGTAGTAGACAACAGCCACTGGTTGTATGAGGGTAAAACCTCAAATAGTGCCGGGAATGACAGCACCATCCCGGCCTCTCTAAGCAGTCCTGCGGCGGACATCCTGAAGAACTTTTACCACACCAAACGGGTCGGGAACTACCTGATCGGGAGGAAGCTGGGCGAAGGATCGTTCGCCAAAGTTAGAGAAGGTCTCCATGCGTTGACTGGGGAAAAGGTAAGACTTCACTGAGTGGAAATGCAACATGGTTTGGTTGAATTGTGTGTAATACATTTTGTATTTTTACATTATATATATATATGTGTTTTCCTTGGCTTTATTTAAATGCAACGTGTGATCCAATCACATACCATCCCAATTAAAGTTAATTTAGTCCTTGTGATTTTTTGCACTCCAAAAAACTTTAAAAACCCCAAAACCTAATTGTTTTTATTTTAGTAAACTATATGTGAGTTTGTACTGACTGCTATAGCGTATAACATGTCAGATCGTGAGTGCTGTATTGGTAATGGTTAAATGGTTTTACATTTCGTCTGTTGTCACTTAAGCTCATGCATGTCAACCAAGCAAAACTCTGTCACCTGTTATGATTGACAGGTGATTGACACGTTGTGATTTTGCATTGTATCTAGTTCAGTAATCAGTTCTCAGCTTTCTCAGAGAAAGTGATCAGACCAGTTTGCAATGGGAGGCTTTGTTAATGAGCTCATGCGGCACCACCAGCTGTTGAACTCAGCCAATACGCACAGCATGGCTTGTTTTCTAGCCAGTGACAATATTTACTTTTGTGTGTGAGAGAGAGAGAGAGAGAGAGAGAGAGAGAGAGAGAGAGAGAGAGAGATAGCGTCCCGTCTTTCCCCCCACATGTGTGGGATATCTGGGTGTTTTTCTGAACCTCTTCTTTGTCTGCTGCTGCTGCCGGTGATCTCACCGCTGTGGGCGCGCAAGCCTGCGATAGGGACAGTGGGGGGAATTGTTCGGCCTATGAGAGAGCAGAGCTGCTACTTGCATATGAAATCATGTCGTTGATAAATGGGCCTCGGCTTCATTATGATTCCGCCAGCACAGGGCTTTGATATGGGCCACCATTGGCCACTGTTTGCCTTTGTCTCTCCAGGCTGTTTTGAGGGGCAGCCAGGACATTTACATATTGAAAAACAAGTAACCCCCTTTTTGCTTCAGTGTCCCTAAAGGCAGACCAATATCTGTTTGTAAATGTGTATGTCAGAATATGTGCCACTGAGATTCATATTTAGCATTTTAAAGCATAATAAATATTAGCTTATCCTGTGGTCCCCCCCCCCTCTCCGATTCTGTTTCTGTGAGGAGAAAAGAAAGCTCTCCTCTTCCCTTCCCTCATGCTCTTTGTTGAGGATGATGCAAACACTGGCAATCACACAA